CTCCCCCCAGGCTGCGGCAGGGCCTCCAGGCGAGGGAACTTGCGTGGCCTCCCTGGGCGCCGGCGTGGCCTCTCCTCGCTCGACGTGGGGACAATGCGGCTGTACTTGGGCTGCCGCCCACGAGGCTCGTCCTCAGCTGGGTTATTCTCACTGTCCTCTGTGGGGCAACGGGCCAAGGCGTCAGACACAGGCCCTGGCAGCAGGGGCCAGAGGGGAGAAAGGGTCATCAATGGCTCCAGCATCCATGATATCATCCTCCTCTTCCTCCTCCGGCCCATCTTCCTGCGGGAGCTTTGGCGAGGGAGCCCCCTTGCGCGGCACCCTGCGGGTAGGCTGCATCTTGCCGTGGCTTGCCTTGACTAGGCCCTCACAGCTGGGGCTCCTGCCTTCTGCAGAAGGGCTCGCTGGCACTGGAGCTCCAGCCAAGTGGGGGTGCCAAGGCTTGCACCCCACCTCCTGACCAGATTCCACCCCCATCCCGCTCCTACACCCCACCCAGACCCTGTACCCCTACACCCCATCCCGCTCCTACACCCCACCCAGACCCTGTACCCCTACACCTCCCACAGCTGGGGCTCCTGCCTTCTGCAGAAGGGCTCGCTGGCACTGGAGCTCCAGCCAAGTGGGGGTGCCAAGGCTTGCACCCCACCTCCTGACCAGATTCCACCCCCATCCCGCTCCTACACCCCACCCAGACCCTGTACCCCTACACCCCATCCCGCTCCTACACCCCACCCAGACCCTGTACCCCTACACCTCCCACAGCTGGGGCTCCTGCCTTCTGCAGAAGGGCTCGCTGGCACTGGAGCTCCAGCCAAGTGGGGGTGCCAAGGCTTGCACCCCACCTCCTGACCAGATTCCACCCCCATCCCGCTCCTACACCCCACCCAGACCCTGTACCCCTACACCCCATCCCGCTCCTACACCCCACCCAGACCCTGTACCCCTACACCTCCTCCCGCTCCTACACCCCACCCAGACCCTGTACCCCTACACCCCCCCCGAACCGCTCATTTTTGGCCCCTCCCTAGAGCCTAGGGGGCTCCAGAAGACTTCATCTGGCCGGGGGGAGGAGGGGGGCTTGAGCCTTGGCAGTTCCTGCTCCCTGCTGGGGCTGGAGCGTGAGGGGAACCCTGGTGCCGTGAGCTGCATGAGTGAGGTGAGCGGCTCCTTTTCCCGCTCAGCAGTGGGGGGGGCTACGGCCAGGAGGATTTTTTTTTGCCTCTCATTGGTCTGTGGCCAGCGACTGAGTTTTCGGTGGGCCAGTGGCCCCCACCCCGGTGGGAGGAGCACTGTCGGTACAAGAGAACTGGAGTGCAGCACGGCTCAGCGCACGGTCTGGTGTGCCTTGTGAGTGGGGGACCCCAGCCCGGCCTCTCCACAGCGGCCCCCCAGAACTCGGGTGTAATCGTGTAGTCGAACCGGTTAGCCCGGCCCCCCCCGCCCCCCCCCCCGCCAGTACAGTTTTTAGCAGGCTGGCCAGCAGCCCAGGTCAGTCCCGGCTCGCACCGGGTCCAGAACCCCCACTGCATCTCTGCATTTAAAACATATAAGGAGCCCGGCAGGCAGCCCGGCTCAGTTCCAGCTCTCGCCGGGCCTGGGCGCTCAGACCCCGGGAGGCAGGGGCTGTCAGAGGCGGCAGCGCAGGGCAACAGGCAGCAGGTTTTGAAACTGGCTCCTCTCATGGACCAGCTCCCGCCTGGCACCCCACGCTGCCTCTGGTACAGCGGCTGGGGCCCCCCCCCCCGGGGCC